TGACTAGACACGGAACGCCATTACCTTCCCACCATGGCGGTACTTATTTATCTACTCGCATTTGCACGCTTTCGAACAGCTAGGTTGGCAGGAGCTGGGACAAGCGATGGGAGCTCACTCCGTCACGTGGATTCGATCTTACGACTGCTTGTCTTCTGACCTTGCAGCACAGAGGCTTCTGCGGTTTAACCCCCAGCGCCACCACGCCCCTTTTGCTCGTAACATAAGCCCTACCCCCAAAATAAGTCCCAGTTAAGTGAAACCCCGCCCTCCACCGTTGTGCAGCAACCAGAAGAAGATGACATGACTGTAAAATAAAACACCCCCTGAAAATAAGCCCTAATGCATATTTTGGAGCAAAAATTAATATAAGACCCTGCTTTTTTTTTTTGGGAAAACACGACATAACCCCAGTGCAAGAACTAATCTTGCACAAAAAATGAGAGGAGAGGAAAAAAAGCTAGAATTACAAGCAGTCTTGCAGAGGGGTAGAAAACTAACAGTTTTCAAGGGCTACATGACGTGCTGCATCTGCAGAAATGAGCTACAGTCCATGAAATCTTATCCCAAAGTAAATTTGTTAGACTTTGAGCTGCCAGAGGTTTTTTCTGCAGCAAACGTGGCTATTCCTCTGAAAAGCAACTAGGTCTACAATTCAGGGTAAAATAACATCTATATCTTTATCATCTGGTGAACACTAGGAGATTTCTGCCCCCTCCCTCCCCTGATTGATCTGGGAGAGAACATTTTACATCTAATGACAGTGCAGTGGGTGAGCTTCCAGTGTGTCTTTGAAAGTATTTATACTTTTCTGGAGTATATAATGGCTTCATTTACAAGGTGTGTAAAATACCTGGGCTTATGGTGCAGTTGTATCCAAACAGTTCCTCTTTTTTGAATAATAGGTTTTTGTACAAAACAGCTTTGCATTGCCCAAATTCCTGGAAAAGACAAGAGAAAAACAAAAAGAAGTGTCTTATCTGTTCCTAGCTGTTCTTCAAAAAAGCTTCAACAGGCAAACCAGAAAGGTGCTTTTGGGTAATATTTGGCACTTGTTGATTACAAAACAACACATTGTTACGAACATCTGTCCCCCTGCTCCAAGTGGTGAGAATTCCAAAGGTGCAATTCTTAGAATGTAGAAAGAATTTGTTACGTGTATTCTCGAAGGCTTTCACGGCTGGGATCTGAGGGTTGTTGTAGGTTTTTTGGGCTGTTTGGCTGTGTTCTGGAGGTTTTGCCAGTCTCTGTGGCTAGCCTCTTCAGAGGACAGGAGCTAGAGCTCTGTGTTCTGCTGTAGTGTGTGGGACAGTGGAGTATTTGTATCTGTGGGATCAGCTTTTTGTCCTTTTCAGAAGATTGGGTGATTATGGTGATCAGGGTGTTTTTTTATTATGGGCGCATTGCTGTGATAAGGGGGAGATGATCTGTCAGTGTGATTGATGGGTGTTGTTAGCTAGTCTATTGTGTGCAGTGATCTTGACTGTGAATTTCTTATGTCTTAGTCATTAAATTTCAAAATATCCCAGGGAGATTTCAAGACAATTGGCAGAAGTCTTACTGATTCCATTAATCTTGTCCTGACTAAACCCGAGTGTTAGAACGAAGCATTACCAGATTCTCCATGATCTCCAAAGGATCACATCCAAATGATCACCTTTATGACCGCCTCCAAATCTTATTAAAACATTCAATCAATTCAATATGGATCTAAGTTAATCTCCCCATGATTCTCCTTCTGCTTAAATACTGATATTCAGTGTAGTATAGAGACAGAGTGATAAATTTTGGCAGTGGAACCTCACCTGGGTGATGGCGGTGGAACTGGTAAAGCCACTCATTAAATGTCTTACTTACCCTGAAAGCCCTATTAGGGTGGCTTCATGTTGGTTCCAACCTGGTAGCACAAATAAAAGCAACTTGCATATCGTATGCCTAATGGCAAAGTGAATGTTGCATCCTAATACCACAATGTTGAAGCTTTTCCAAAAGGAAACTGGCAGTATGACACTGATAACATAACTAAGATTTGAATACCCCAGGACATATTTTCATATAAATTCAAAATATGGCGAGAATTTGAAATTTGATTGCAGAAGTTAAAACCAATGTTTTGCTTCCCTGACGCTAAAAAAAATTATTTTTGAGGGATCGGAAGAAAGATAATTTAGATAGATTTAATAAGGGAAATGTTTTCAAGTATTTAAATAAAGTACATTGCACTTTCTAACCTAATCTGGGTTTCTATAGACCACGACGTATAGTATGCTTGGTTTCTAAAAGAGCTGTAGGAAGGGCAGCAAAGGGTTTGCTTGAAACTACATACAGTCGTGCCCTGCTTAACGATGACCCCATATAACAATGAATCCGCTTCACGGCGATGTTTTTGCGATTGCAATTGCGATTGCAAAATGATGTTTTAATGTTTTTTTTTTGCCTTGCGACGATCAGTTCCCTGCTTCAGGAACCGATTCTTCACATTACAGTGATCAAAACCGCTGATGGTCGGGTTTTCAAAATGGCCATTGGCTGCTCAAAATGGCTCCCCGCTGTGGTTTTGGATGGATTCCTCGCTTTACAGGCACCGAAAATGGCCGCCCCTATCGAGGATCTTCGCTGGATGGTGAGTTATTCAGCCCACTGGAATGCATTGAACGGTTTCCAATGCATTTCAGTGGGCTTTTAAATTTCGCTTTACGACGTTTTTGCTCTACAGCGATTTTGCTGGAACAAATTAACGTCGTCAAGAGAGGCATCACTGTACACTGGATCCAATCCAGGTCTTATCATAGAAAAAAAAAGGAACAACAACAACAACAAAAACCCCACCACAAAAAACTAGCAGCATTGGGAAGCTCAAATATGTCTACAGTCATCACATTCTGTGATCAGGACAATGCACCTGGAGGGCACTGTTCAAGGGGAAGTAATACTTCTGGCTCTTACTCTAAAGGTGGAGTTAATACTTAGTTTTAACTAAGTATTTAACTAATAGTTAGTTTTAATACTTAAGGAATTGTCCTGCTACCTGAGAGCAGGACAATTCCTTAAGTATTAAAAATCTGTCTGTCTGTAATCTCAATATCTTTGAATCACCCACAGATTGCAGATAAGAGAGCTTTGTTTTTTGCTTTAATATTTGGAGTTAAACACAGCCTCAGGTGGTTAATTTCAGGCAAAATGCTGGGAGAGGATCGTGCGGCAGAAAACCAAATATGTTTTCTTTTGCCAACAATGTGTGACTGTGTCTTATTGGACCCTAAGCCACATTCCCAGGAAAATATGGTTGGTGCAAACAAAGCGACCCTCACCCACAGCTATTTTTTTTGGGGGGGGGTCTTTTGTTTTGATGGGAGATCCCAAATTGAGGCTAAAGATGGAAAGGAACACTTGACATCCTGAACAGAGGAGGAAAATGCCAGCAGTACCTGGGAAGCCTCAGGATGCTCCCACTTACCGTGCTTGGGTAGAAAATCCTGTGCCCGCAAGATGACCAGTTTTTCCTGGATAATACAGGACATTCTGTGTCCAATACGTCTAGAGTGAAGTACAGGATGGAGGCATTGCCCTGGAAGGGGTGAAGGCAGAAGGAAATACAGTAGGTTTAATCATGTTTCGGGGTGGGGGAATGGTGGTGAAGGAATAGGCAGATTTAGTTAATTGATAACGTTAAATGTGCACCCTTCCAATCAATGAGACATTTCACAGGCTCCAAGCACTTGCCCAAGGTTCCATTTGCTTAGGAGACAGTTGCAGGAGACGGGAGACTGATGGCATTTTTATGGTGCAAATTTTTTCTGCACACATAGCATGTAAGCATTCACCATATTAGAATGATTCGGCAGCAGGCGAGCTCTCAATCCCACCGTTAAGTGAAAAAGCAAATAAATATTCCCCTGCCTGTCTCATCACAATTTCATCTCACTTTTATTTTTCAAAGTGATGCTGTGCATCTGTGCTGTCCTAGTACATTTAATTTTTTTTTAAAAAAAATGTCATTGGCCCCTCCACACTCCTGAGGAAGTGTTTAATTTGTCAGGATCTTGACGTGGCTCTCTTCTTATGCCACTTTTCCCAATATTGGCAAGTTCAAAAGGAAAGGCTTGCTTTGGTTCGTTTCCGGATGCTGGGAATGAAACAAAACAAAGCGAGCTCACTGCATTGAAAAAGGTAGAAACCCTTGACAGGGGTCAAAAAAGTGCTGATAGGAATCCTTTGGGAAGGGGCTGATTCACTCCACCAAATATGTCAGCACTTTAGGACTGAACTATTGGATGCTAGCAGAGGACTAAACAATGGGCTAAATGCTTATGTAGCCACCCTCAATGTCAACCCCTTTCCTGCTTTTCAGACCCATTTCCAGAAGGAATTGACTTCCTGTTGCACACGCTGACCTTATCTAACCACTCTTCTTTTCAAGGAGAAAGCAGAGGACAAAGATGAGTCCCCTTCACTCATTACCTATTCCTTTCTTTGCAAATTAGGTGCCCTCCAGATCCTCTGTACTTTGTCCCTCGTGAGCCCCAGACACAACATGACCAGTGATAGGAGCTGTAATCCAATAAGGGACCAGTTGGGAAAGGTTACGTTCAAGGGACTTATGCTATATTCATGTACTATCCAGCTGAGGATCAGTTCAGTACTTTAAATAGGAATTGGGATAAGGATCAGAGAAGCTTAAATCTTATTTCATATGGTTTTCCCTTTAAAATGACCTCAACAAAGTTGAACAAATAAAAAGAGAAACATCCATTGGTACCAATCTAAAATAGTGATTACAAGTTTCGGGTAAGTTAATATAGAATAGGTTACTCTTCTTGGTTATTCTGTGATTAATATTGGACAGTTAAGAATGGCAATGAAACTTTGAGGTACAACAGACCAGAGCAAGTAAATGTTGAGAGAGTAAACGATGCCATCATTTGGATATTCCATTGATTCTGCGCTGTGATTCTCCCTCTCTTCTGTTTCAGACTACCAGCAGACACTGAATTTTGCATGGCGAACAAGACAGCTCATTTCCCTGCAAATATGTTGTGGTTCTTCAACCCTAAGGATTTCTCAGACATTCTGATGCCCATCCTCTTTGTTCCAAATGACCCCATTTAGCTGTTAATCCTGTTGACACTCACCAGCAAAGTTCAGTATTAGAAGGCATGATATATTT